AATGCGGCCACTTTAGTTAGCATCCTTTCTGCCGTTCATTTATTATTAAAAATCACATCACCCTCACAATGAATAAACGCAATCAGCATTTCTCTTAAATGCAATTAAAATTTTCACCCCTTCAATGCCACCCCACCACCGCTTGGGCGCTTGTCTGCTTGCCTGCACTCCACACATACTCTTTTCTTTACATTTCATTAAAATAATTGTACATAATTTGCTGCTGCTGCTTTCATAGTGAATGCGGAGCAGCAAGCAAAAAAAAAAAAACTGATATGAAACTCGAATACAAAAAAAAAATAAAAAAAAATTTAAGNCAAAAAAAAAACTGATATGAAACTCGAATACAAAAAAAAATAAAAAATTTTAATCAAAAAACCTTTCAACACTCATTTTCGCAACAATATTGTCAGTTCATTTGTATTTCTCTTGCCGCAAAGCGCTTTCCTGCGTGGATGTGTCTGTCTCTGTGGATGTGATAAGCCCGCAGCAGCAGCATCATCCTCTTTTGCGTTTGCTTATTAAAATTTAACCACCAAATTAGCAAATTAACTGGCACTCGGGTGAATGCACACACCCGCAAACAAGCAGATGTAAAGTGGTTCGCTTTTTTTTTTTTACTTTTTGCATTCATTTTTTGCTTAAACATCTAGCTAGTGAGCGTGTGCCGAAAGAGTGGAGTGAGTAAAGTACCGATGCTTATTTACAGCTTCTATGTTTTTACAAATTCTCTCAACATATTTTTTGATGGCATGTGGCGTGGGAAGTTTGAGTTTTTGCCAAAAGCCAGTTGCAGTAAGAGGTAGTGGGTGAGCGAGCAAGTCGGCAAATCTTCCCTTCCTTTGATATGAATGGTCTAGAGTTTCGAGCACCAACAAGTGGTTGCTTAGTTNTGGGTGAGCGAGCAAGTCGGCAAATCTTCCCTTCCTTTGATATGAATGGTTTAAGAGTTTGGAGCACCAACAAGTGGTTGCTTAGTCGAATTGTCATGAAATAATTGCGTGATTGAATGAGCGGAAATAAGTGAAAATTTTTGCATTGACAGCGGGTAAAAAGTAGACACAAACACACTTCTAAATTGTTTCTATTAATTTTTATTTTGAAGCATTTAAAGGAGAGTATAGTCAGATTAGCCGGGGTAAAATTATATGCCGTGAAGAGAGTCGACAGAGACTAGTGCCAGAGGAAAGTATGTATATGAGGTAAGAATTCACGATTTCAAGCTCCGCATAACGACTTCTGTAGCCACTTTGGAGCTTTAGAGTTGGGAATCATTCAGAACTTCCTATGATATGAAGAATTAAGTACTAATGCCTTTTTCGAGGCCACGGTCTAGGCGCAAACTCCAGATGGTTTGAGAATGTGAAGCCTTTTTAAGATCAAACTTCCTAACCTAAATTATCTATACACTGAAGTAAATTCCCTTACGTTACCACCCCAGGAGGTAGGGTGGTAAATATAACGGCTTTATGATATTTTGAAAAGTTTGGTTTTTTCTCACCATTTCAAAGCCTATTGGCGGAAGTCAGTTGAAATGCTTTTCCAAGCTTCAATCATCCTACTATGTACAACCATACATCAAACCACTTTTTTCCNATCAAACTTCCTAACCTAAATTATCTATACACTGAAGTAAATTCCCTTACGTTACCACCCCAGGAGGTAGGGTGGTAAATATAACGGCTTTATGATATTTTGAAAAGTGTGTTTTTTTCTCACCATTTAAAAGCCTATTGGCGGAAGTCAGTTGAAATGCTTTTCCAAGCTTCAATCATCCTACTATGAACAACCATACATCAGACCACTTTTTAATTTTTCTTCCTTATTTACCTTTTCAAGCATTGTTAGCGTGCTTTTGCTAAACATTTTATTATTGTGACTCTATTTCGACTTCAAAAAGCAATTCCATTCATGTCTTTCAAACAAAAATGTATAAAAAACAACAAAAATATCCCTAAGGAAAAATACGCATTGTTAAAAACTTAGCTTTGATTGTCCGGCGCTTGTGTAAGTATGTATGTAGTAAGTACATACGTACGCGTGTACATACAATGTATACACATATGGGCATAAATACTTCGCTTTGATAATGTTAATTGGACGAAAAATATGCCAAGTTATGTACGCTTATTTGATTTCAAGTGGTTTGTAGAGAAAATAATAATAAAATATAATTAAATGATTTAAAATGGAAGTAGTGGAGATCAACAAGAAAGGCATAAAATCGAAAAAGTTGAAAAACGATCAAATAAAGTAATTAAGTTAAATGAAATATATAAAAACTAAACTATAAAAGATAAGATAACATAAACAAATTTTATAAATAAGATAAAATACAGAACTTAAATAGAAAAAATATTAGAAATATTTAAAAAAGTTATATAAAAAAATTTATGAAAAATACGGATATATTAAAAAATTAATAAATAAGAAATAAATAAAAATTAAATAAAGGAAAAATTACAATACAAAAAAAATATTTAAATAACGTAACCAAAAATAAAAACTACCAGAAAGACTAAATAAACAAAAAATAAAGAAAAATGGGTAAATTATAAATTTAAATATAAAAGCAAATTGTAATAAAATAGAATAGAAGGTTAGGAAAGATGGAAAGAAAATGCATAAAAAAGGAAAGGCAAAGAATATTATCTGAAAGAAAAACAAATAAAATAACATAAAAACGGAATAATAAATAAAAAAATAAATTAAAATAACAAAGTTAGCAGCGCGCTTCAACTCCGCAGGGCCTGGGGTCAAGCCCGGTTCAACCCAACATCAAAAAATTTAAGTGGCGAAAAATTACCGTTGATCTTTTAGAATTTTTTGCGGTGATGGTGTTGTTTCTTCCATTTAAAAATGAATTCTGTTTATTCGTTATATGGAAGCAAATGGGACAAAAAAAAAAATCTAAAAAATTAACGGTAGTTGTTACTACTTGAAACTTGCACATTATCAGACTAAAATTGAATTGAATTGGTTTTATAAAAGTTTTGTTAGAGAATGAACTGTATTTTAATTGAAAATTCTTAAAAATAAATAAGTAAATATAAGTGGCAAACAATAGCACTTTGAAATGGTGGAGCTATAGATATGTCTAATACTGTATATACATACATATTCAAATGCTGGAAAATGGCCCCACACCCCCTATAGTGAGTAAGTGCCTATGTGCCTCAGCGCTTAAAATAAAAATTAAAATAAGTGCTTTATTAAAAATTAAAACGTTTACATTAACCAAAATGAGTTGACCTGACCTTCTCTACTTGGCGTGCAGACATTTTTACATATGCACACTCTCAATCCTTAACGCTGATTGCGCATATTAGTATGTATCTTAATATATGTGAGTACATTTGTATGAATGAGTGTTTGCTTTTATTTTACTCTTTGAGTACATTTTATCTGTGTTTAAAAATGTCCACAGAAGTATTTATAACCAGACCCGCTCATTTCCATACATACACCTTTTTGTATTCGGAAAATGTTTGGTGGTCATTCATTTTGCCCGCATTAACCCAACCATCCGCGGCTATTCTTTTAGGAACATTCGTGCTCGCATATACACATGTACATAGATATGTATTTGTCGCCCTCATTGCAGTTTCCTTCATTAGCTGTTGTTGGGACGCTGCCGTCTGTGCCTACTTTAAATTTTCGGCACCTAGAGCCTCTCGCGGAGGCTGTCGTTTATCGTCGGTGTTACTGCAAACCGCGCTATGTCACTTATTACCTCACGTGCTTAATTGATCTGTTATATGTATCTGATCGCTTCTGGCAATCGTTCATCTTCATCAGCCAAAGGTAAACAGTTTTGGCATTCGTTTATTAGGGTGTAACGATTTGCAGATGCATTCCGGTGCAAGTAAGATACCATCTAAGTGTGAAGTGTAATAATAGACATATACCGTTTTGCCGTATCACCGATGTTATATCAAGGTGTGCATTCATTCATATGAACATCACAAGCCAACAGTTATCGGCCAACTCCGCGTTCGATGTGTTGCACTTCTTTGCAAAATATCTACCTTATTATTTGTCCTTTGCGCCACAGATGTGTACGTGCAATGAGTTCACCCCCGTAAGCGGCGGGCGAGAAAACAATTAATTAACTTAAACTTTTTGATTTTTTCATGTGTTTATTTTGCTCAAGTTGATTTTCTTTTGTTATTTCTGTTTGTTTTTTTTTTTTTGTTTCCGTCTGAAATGCATTAAATGAAATTTACACTTCTTCACCTTTTGTTCTATTTTCTTCTCTCGTTTTATTCATATTTGTTCGCTTTTATTTTCTTATCCATTATACATACATATTTTGTAAATAAGTAAGACACAGACTTCGTTGAAAACACATTTATTTGATTATTTCTTTCATTGTTTGTTGCTGCAGATGTATGTATATCCTTGAAAATTTTAATTATGCAAATTTTCGCCTCACGCCCCAAACACACATGCGCTCGTGCGTACAACATTTGCACTTATTTGCACTCCTCTGCCGCAGATTTTTTTCACCACTTCTTCATTGAGTCCCTCACTTGCCTCATTGGCACACTTGAAACGCACCCGAAGTGCGCTGGCAAGTACGCACTTACATATATATGAGGTTATCTACTTGTGGTCAAAATGGATACGCGTTTACATACTACATTCACGAATATGTAAATACATAAATATGCATGCATTTAATTTATTCTGAAATATGAGCAAGTTCATCGTTAAATACTTAACCTCACAGCACAAAATGCATTCTGCATTTTGAATTTTTCTATTCCAGAGTCTAACTATTGTCTTATGACCTTTTCTCGAAAAGAAAAAGTGAGGCAAAATATACCAGACTAGATAACGAGATTGAGCATAAAAAACTTCGGGATATTTATCTACCTCAGATAATCACCAACTTTTCTTCTTCTTCACCTTCGTTTTAAATATGTTTCTTACTTTGATGCGATACTTATTTCTATGAAACTAATAACATTTCTTTCCCACTTGTTTCTTCATTACAGATAAACTGGCCACATGTTTCGTTTGCAAAGCGGAGGCCTGCCCGCGCACGCGTCCCCTCAAAAAGGGTCGCGGCCAACAGTACGGCATTCCAGATGATACAATACCGGCAGGTGCGCGTGTCTGCAACTCGTGCCAATGCAAATCGGTACGTAATCGCTATACGAACTGCCCCATTCCGACGTGTCCGAATCCGAAAGATCGCGCCAAACGTCTACACAACATTCCGCCACGTCTATTTGAATTTGCTCCCGAAATCCGAGATCCCATCTTTCAGGAGTTCCAAATACCACCACAGTCGACACGTTGCTGCTCGGCCTGCCTAATGCGTATACGCCGCAAATTAGATCTTGATCCTCATATAACGCTGACGGACGAAGATCGTCGCATGGATTGCGATGAATCAGATGTGAGCACCTCGTCGTGTGATGAGCGCGAAGTTGGCGGCAGTGATACTGCTTCGGTGGAGAGTCCCGAATCGCAGCGACATAACTCAATGACAAAGGATGTGCAGAAGCCGCAGACACCGATTGTGGTGAGCGTCGCCACAAATGCAGCCGATACTACAACGGTGACAATAACTGCCGCCGGCATTAAGGCTGACGAACGTTTGCTGCCACCTTTGGGACAGGCGCCGAAAAAGCAAAAGACCTCGGAGGAGTATGATTCGTCTGCTACGGAGACAGCGGATGAGGAGAATGAGAATTCGCCAGCGAACCGTCAAAGTCCAAAGGTTATACTGAACAGCGGCAGTGGTGTGGGTGCACAGGGTAGCGGCGTTGGCCTCGGCCCACCAATGGCGAGCGCCCAACAAGTTCATATGGGACAGCAGAATGGTCCACCGCAACCGCAGCAGGTAATGTCTCTACCGCCACGCGAACAAACCGGTGCGAATGTACAAGATGTGTTGTATTCGGTAATTGAGCTGTCGCTCAAGACGAAGGGTCCACCACCAGCTAAAATGCCCTCACAAATGTCGAATGCGTCGTCTATGCATGGCCTGAAACCCAACATGGAACCACTACGTAGTCGCGGTGATCTCAGCAACAATAATAACAACTCTAACAACGATGTGACTATAGTCGGCGAATTCCGCAATGATGGTTCCATAGTGAAGCAGCAGGCACATGGACAGCCGATAGGCTTAAGCGCGCGCCAATCCAACGCATCTGCAGTTAATTCGGGCCAAGGTCCACCGGGTAGTCAAGGTCCACCTGGCGCTGTGGTACATCCGGATAGCTTGGCCACGATATCTGTGGTGAACTCCCATCTGCCACACCAGCATCTGCCACCACATGGCATGCTGCATCAGCATGAGATCAAGGCAACTATAACGCCCGTGGTGAAGTCTGGTAAGACGCCAACACCGACGCCTCAGCAGCCGCCAGACTCTATCCGATACACCATGCCCGCTGTCGCCGTGCAGCAGCATCGCAACAACGAACCCGAACCACAAACACTTGACCTCTCAATTAAGAAACCAGCGCGAGATGGTCCTTCGCCTCACTCTTCGTCCAGCGGCGTGAACTCCTCTAGCAACGATAATGGACCTCGCCATCAGCCACCACCAGGCGCAGTAAAGCATGTCGGCAACGCCGCATCTATGTATCGTGGTCCAGAATTGGGCCCGTCGAACCCAACGTATCTATACCATCCACATCCAGCGACCGTAGGCAAGGGACCGCATGGCTCTGTCTATATGCCGCAAGTACCTGTACCCATTCCTATAACGCAAGCAGGTGTGGGCGCACGATCTCAAGCGACCGGTGGGCAACCGCCCCCGCAACAACCGCCACCATCCACGCACCAGGCCCATATGCAGCTGCCACCGGGTGTGGTGAGCAACAGCAGCAAAGTAGGAGGTGCCAAAATGGCGCCCAAGCTGAGTCCACAGCTGATACATGGTCCGTCGTCACACGGCACAACGGCATCACCATCACAACAGCAGCAGCAACAACAGATGATGGTGGGTCCTAAAGGTTCCATAACACACGGAACTCCGGTCAATAATGCCCAACAGATAATCGTACACTCCTCGCCTGCGACACTGAGCCCTAAATTCGACAGCATCTTGCGTCAAACTCCACCGTCCGGCAGCGATGCGGGCAACAAACTTGGCTCCATCACACAGGGCACACCCATACATCTGCCTTCACATCATATGGAGAGCAAACGTTCGTACGAATACTACAAATCGTCGCAGCGTCAAAGCCCTGCACAACAGCAGCAGATGCCAGTGGTCGGGCATCCAGGGGTGTTGCCGCCACCGCAACAGTCATCGCCTCAGGCCCCACCGCCGCAGGGCTATGGCGCCAATTCCCCGTACGCACGCTCACCCTACTCCGTTGACCAGTCGCCGGTACTGAGTACGCGTCAAATTGTCTTGCATGACTACATAACCTCACAGCAGATGCAGGGCCAACAACGAAACGTATCGCGTGGCAGCAGCAACAGCGCGGGAGGCGGCGGTTCAGACAAAGAGTCTCCATCGCCACGCAACAGCGTCAGTGGTCCCGGCAGCGCGCTGGTATTCTACGACAAGGAGCGTGGACGCACCGAATACTCGAGTCGGGCCTCGCCCGCTGAGCATGTCAACAGGTACGGAAAATCACATTTGGTGAACTAAAAACTGTGATATTTCAGAACTAATTAAATCATATTTTTCACTTACAGTACGCCCAGTCCCCATCGCACACCACCGCCACCACGGCAAGGTGTCATACAGCGTCACAATACTGGCTCAAAGCCACCCTCGCCAGCAACGATACCCCAGAATCGCCTGCACGTGATGCCGCACAACTATCCGCCAGGTCAGTACGCGCGTAGTACACCGCCCCACGCAAGTGCCACCCATTTAATGAAAACTTACAATCCCCCTCCTTTAGCTGGTCACGACGCCTTCTCTTCGTTTGTCGATGTGGCCGTACAACAGCCACAATTGCCGGTGCCATCGCAGCAGAAGGAAGAAAAGCAACTCCGACACGATGCGCCACCGCCACCACCACATCAACAGCATGCGCCGAGCACACAACCGCCGCACGCGCAACATGAGATACGCTACCAAATGATGCAGCTTAACTATCATCAACAGCAGCGAGCAGCCGCGGTAGCTGCAGCAGCTGCTGCACAACAACACCACCAGTACCGGCAACAAGCGGCGGCAAGTGCTGCCGCCAATGCGGATCTCCAGCGACGCATGCACGCGATCGAACGAGATCGAGATCTGCAGCAGAAGCGACAAGAGCGTGATAGAGAACGCGAGCGTGAGAAGGAACGTGAGCGTGAACGTGAAAGAGAACGAGAGCGTGAACGCGAACGTGAGCGCGAGAGGGAACGTGAAAGAGAGCGTGAGAGAGAGCGGGAGCGTGAGCGCATGGTGGAATGTATAGCGGCGAATGAGCGCGATGCGGCAGGACGTCGCATGACGGAGCGAATGAGTGCGGTAGCAGCGGCGCAACATTACATGCGTGGCGGGCCGGAAAGTGGACCGCCGCGGGCAATACCCGATCGGGAAAGAGATCTGTAAGTGAAAAGTACTAACGAAATTCAATGAATTGTGTATAAGGTTGATACATATGTATGTGCAGCAAACATTTTTATCAAGCATCAAATGAAAATCGCTAAACAGAACAACGAATGATTAATGCTCAGATAACTCGATATTTTAGATTTATGCCATAGATTGAGTATTATTTGAAGTGCAGCTCTATTTTATATTAAACAATCCGTTTCCAGAAATGAATATGTATCTCGATATACCAAAACAGATACAATTTTTAATATTCAAATTAAATTTTAATATTTATTCAGTGTACGCCAGCAACCATCCATCCATCATTTATCTCACTCGCTCATCTTGTTTATTTGTTTCTCTCTCTCCTTTTCTCTTTCAAAAACTACGACAATTGCCAAAAATATTTGTGACATCGTCACCAACGCAATATTTCGTCCATCCATAAATGCGCTAACCATCATCATAATCACATTCAACGTTGACCGCATGAACACTATGAACGCCATGAATGCAATTTGCCATACTCATCTATGTGTACATGTTTGTATTTTCACTAACGCGCAGCTATCATAGGGCACCACCGGACAGTACATTGTCGGCGCAGGTCTTAATCGATGCCATCATAAAACAATCGATCATACAGGGCAGCTCAGAACCGAATCCAGCGAGCATGAATCGGCCATCATATGTGAGTATATCTCGTTAGTGCACCCAAGCGCTTATTTGTATTAAACTATAATCGTATTTTTCCCCCAGTATAACTCGCGTGAATTGCCACCCTCATCACGTCCTCAGCATCCTTCTGCTGCTTCATTGTCTGCTGCCGAAAATAATGGCAAGGCGAATTCACCTAATGTCATCAACATAGACTTGGATAATGATCGCGCCGGCAGCAGTACCAATCAGCACGATTCGCCAAGCGTGAGTGTGATGAATTCACGTGGCAGCGGAGTTTCGCATGGCAGTCGCAGTGGCTCGCAGGGCGGTCCACCGCCCGGCAGCTTAGCGCCACAACCAGGTGGCGCGCTGTTGCCACCCACCTCGCAGGCGCAGGCGCAAGCTCAAAACCAAAAGCAGTCGCAAATGTTGAAAACGAACATCACATTCGGTGAGTTAGCGGACTCTATTATAGCAAACGATTACTGCCCGAATCCGATGCAACTGCGTCCGCATGTCAACTACATGCCTTACCTGCAGGAACAGCAGCCGATCGTGATGACCGATCATTGGACCAAGTATAATCGTCGCATGCAGCATAAAGAAGTCGAAGCGGCAGTCGAGCGCAATAAGGCAGCTGCCGCCCAGAATAGCGGCGTCGGCGTTGCGGTTAACACCAGCGGAGTGGTCTCCGGACAGCCGGGTAATAGCGGTGCGACGGGTGGCGGCAGCAGCAGCGGAGGACGCTCAAACACACCAGCGGACGAGCGCAACATTATACGCATGCAGCAGACGGTGAGTCCGCGCAAGTATGATTTGATGATGCAGCCGCCACATGATCAGGCTGCCGCTGCAGCAGCCGCTGCGGTTGCTGCGAGTCATTACTACCATCCGCATGGCCCACCGCCCTCGAGTGGGCCACCATCTATGAGCATGCATGCGCGCAGTGGTAGCGCTGGCAGTGGCGGATCATCTTCAATTCCCTCGCCGCATGATCAGCGCATGGCTGGCGGTGGTAGTGGCGGGACCGCTGGTGGTGGCATGCCAACAAGTGGCTCTGTGACGCAAAACCATCCATTCGATACAATGAAGTATGTGAAAAACCGTATTGTGGAAGTGATGCGCACCGAAGATGAAGAGATGCAACATCAACATTCGCACAATGATCATCGCGGCGGCGGCGGAAAGGATATGCACGATGGCCCAGTCGGCAGTACAATGCGTAAAACCCCCAATCAGTACGACGATGGTCGTGATGGTCGACGCGTGTCCGCTGTGTCGTCCAGTGGAGGTGGCGGTGGAGGCATTGGCAGCAGCAACAACAATGACACGCACCACGGCTTAGTATCCTCGCAGCCCCCACCATTGGGCGCTTATCAGCCCCAAACTCCGGTCACAACATTCGCACCAACGACATACGCCTACCCCTACAGTGCGTTGAATGTGCCCAGCTCAGTGGCGGGATTGCCACCGCCCTCACAAATGACTTCGTCGCAGTTGGCTTCATTGGCGCACCAGCCACCCATATCACACATCGGCAAGCAGACGCCTGGGCATGGCTTGGGTGGCGTTGGTGGCGGTGTTGGCGTTGGGATGACGGCAGCAGGGGCCGTCTCCGCAGTAGCACAATCGAGTGGTGCATCGGCGATGGAGCCAAAACCGTTATTGTCAGCGCAATATGAGGCACTCAGCGACGAGGATTAGTTGTGACTGCAGGCGTCTGGACGAACGCCACAACAACAGCAACAGCCGATACAGCAACAGCTGTTGCAGCAGCAACATTCCCATCAGCAGCAGCAGCACCAGCAGCAGCTTCAACATCAAATGCAGCAGCAACAGCAGCCGGCGCAGCAATTGTGGCATTGTGAGCGTGAACGCATGCGACAGCAGCAGCAGCAGCAGCAACAACAACAGCATCAACAGCAGCATATGCAACAGCAAAAGCTGCAGCAGCAGCAACAGCATTATCAGTTGCAAGCAAATCGCAACTACAACAACAGCAATGGCAACAGCAACAACAATCACTATTACTAAAACTGAGTGAGAGAGACTGCACATTCGGTCTCTGTCTGTTCGCTCCCCCCAGTTAGATGCGCGCCAGCGCTATTGCTGTAGCCTTAGTAGCTGCTATTGTCGTCATATTCGTCGTTAATTTGTAGAAATAGTCCAGTAAACGCCTGCAGTAAAAAAATATAAAGATAACATAAANAGCAACAACAATCACTATTACTAAAACTGAGTGAGAGAGACTGCACATTCTGTCTCTGTCTGTTCGCTCCCCCCAGTTAGATGCGCGCCAGCGCTATTGCTGTAGCCTTAGTAGCTGCTATTGTCGTCATAGTCGTCGTTAATTTGTAGAAATAGTCCAGTAAACGCCTGCAGTAAAAAAATATAAAGATAACATAATTTCAATAGCCAACCAGCAAATACATACAAGTACTCATACATATATAAACACACATACTAATTGGACACAGTTTGCAAGGAAAGCAGCAAAGAAGCCAATATGATCGGGGCAATAAAAAATCAAGGGAATAGAGTGCAAACCGCAAATTTACATATAACTTTATTGAAGAGCAAAACTCTACGCTTGGAATATCTTAAGGAAATTTTTAAGTGTATATTTTCAATATTTAAGGTCGCGATTCTCTTCTAAAGAAGGTAAATTTTTTGAATCTTCAATTTGTAGTTGAGCAGAAAGCATTATTTACGCGAAATTGCAAACCCACTTCTGTATGTTCGAACGCGTTTTTAATTTTCAAAATATGAAAAACATTATTACAAAAAAAAAAAAGGAAAAATTGTATACAGCGGCTGCCTGCACTCATGAAATGTGAAACTACATACATTTGCCTAAATTTGCAATGAGCAAACGATTATTGNAAAAAAAAAAAGAAGAAAATTGTATACAGCGGCTGCCTGCACTCATGAAATGTGAAACTACATACATTTGCCTAAATTTGCCATGAGCAAACGATAATTGAAAAAAAGATACATATACGTATACAATGTTGAACTTACCACATTTCATAAAAAAAGCTGCATTTCCCCCGAGATAGTTTAAGAGTTAGGAGAGTTGCAGAAACGTTTCAATCAGCTTAGGGTCCACATTATGCAACAAAATCGTTATTTAACAAAAAAATACTTTGCCATTATTTCAGATTAAAATTTTATAATTTTTAGTTTTCATTAATTATTTTCAGAAAGAAGTTAAAAAAAGAATATATATAATTTGAATAAAAAATAGATTCGGCTAGAATTAAATTTGATTACATAATTGCTTAAAAAATTACACGCAAATTCATAAAAAATAAAGAATACTTTATAGGCTTTATAAATCGAAAATATGTATGTATTAAAATGTCATTTTATAAAGCTCTTTAAGTCTACAAAACTTATTTCTCTTGAATAAGGCCATTCAATTTTGATGAAATTTATAATTTCTTTGCAAATACTTTTTTGTTTTGAGAAAAAGGTACTAATTTTTACAAATTTCGGCTGCGATAATATCGGAAAGAACATTATTATTTTTAACAAAAATTTCGATTTCAACATTCAGAGAATAAAAACTTCGAAATTCTCTTCTTGATTTTAGTTAAATTGGCTTTAAATATTCACAAAAAAATCGTCGATTTACTCAAATTTTGTTTAAGACAAATTTCTAAAAAGTCTCACCTGCAAACTCTTCAAAACCTTATAACTAGCTCAAAAATATTTGAAAATACAGTTCAGCACAATACATTAACAAAAACATAGAATTTCAAAGAAAAAAATACTACCAAAATGCAATAAAACAATCAAAACTAAGTAAACAAAAATAGGGCTACTAACAGCTAGAGCGAATGTGACTCACGCAGATATTACAAATTGGTTTTTGAAGGAAAGGTTATATTGAAATTGGAAAGGCTTTATTGAATAGGAAAGGAAAATTTGGAAATTTTTTTTTTAAATAAATATGAGGCTGTAAATAAATAAGCTGCGCACTTTAGACATACACATTTTTTAACAAAACATTTTATGTTTTCAACCACAAGTTCTATAAAAGCCACTATTTATGCTAACTTCGCACTTTTTGACGTCAAAGACTTGTCTCTGCTTTGCTGGGAAAATTGAATTCTTACACCTCTTCACAGCTTCTTTCAGACAAAACTTTTTTGTACTTTTTTGACATCGTCTAAAAAAACTACAAAACAAATTTCTCTCTGTTTTGGCTAACAAAAATTTAGTTCTAAATTTTTTTTAACACAATTTTAAATTAATTGATTTGTACTTTTTTGACGTCATCTAAAAAACCTACAAAAAATTGTTTTGGTTTCGATTTTTCCACAATATAATTTTCTTTTTTCTTAGTTGGGGCAAAGAGCTTAAATCAGTTTTACATTTATTAAGAGCAAGTTTGAAATTGTGCATTGGGAAGTGTACCGGCTAGAATATAAATATCCGAAAATTATGAAAATGTTCTCATAAAGCTACTTGTATTATTTAATTTTTTTTAACTTTCTTATTTAAAAATTAATTTTTGTTAATTTTTTTTAAAGTCTTACTTTTGTTTTTGTTTCAAAAATGTTTGTTTATAAAATTCTATATTATTTTCCTGCTTTTTTTAATTTTTTATGAAATTTCTTAAAATACGTATACTTTTTTAACATTTTCTTGTCTACATAAATTTTAACAATTTATTTTTAGTTCGATCTTATTCTAGATAGATTTTTTCACTTTTATGAAACCTATGCGCAAGCAATAATGAACAAATTTCGAAAGTTCCTTGTTTTTAAAATCTTTCTATAAAAACTGATTTGTACTATCTGCCATGACACCTTTTGTAAAGCGCACGCGAAAATGCATTGACCGTACTTGCAAAAATACATTTTGTTTTTTTGTTAAACTGATAAGGAGGATAAGGAAGAGAACTATAAATAAAAAACGCTAAGACTTATTGCAACAAAACAAACAAATAGTGAAATAAAAATATGTAAATGTAAAAAATAACGCAAAACATTGCTGATTTAATAATAAAAAAGCAAGAAATTAAAGTTATAAGCAACATTTAAGCATAAAGTATAATTATAAATTATAAAAAATATTGAAAAATTTCAATAAAAACGTATGGAAATCGGAGGAAACGCAAAAAGCTGCTGTTGTGCGCAGAAAATGTTTAATATTATATAAATATATACTTATAAATATATATATATAACCATTTAAGCTTTTCTATTCTACAATACAATACATTTAAATATAAAACATTAGTATACAAACATAAAAGTAATTTAATATTAATATAAACCCACAAGCATACATAAATAAATACATATATATTAATAATTACAACAATGAGAGACGACGAAACGCTTAAGTTTTTGCTATTCATACAAAAGGAAAAAAAAATACAAAATACAATAATAATAAAAAATATATATAAATATATTTAAAAACTTTACATACACTACTTAGTTAAAAAAAAAATTTAAATGAGAGTTGCATAACGTGTAAAAATAATAATAATAGCCGTCGTCGAAGAGGATTAAGCGGAGGAGAGAATTTTGAAAAAGTTAATTTGTAGCATAGTGTAAATGGCAAGCAAGTTGCAAATTATACAAAGCATAGAAACGAAACGGGAGTTGGTAAATAATCAAGGCGTACTGAATTTAAAATTAAAATAAAAAAGAGAGGGGAGAAAAATGCGAAGAGAAAAAAATGCTGTAAATGTTGAAAATTGGAAATATAGTTCAAGTGGCGTATAATTAGCGGTGCATTGGCTTGGAGGTGCCAATGGGCTAAAAATAAACAAGTGGAAAAGGAAGAAAAAGACGAAGAGGTAATAGATGATGCTTAAAAAGTTTTTAAATTTCTGAAAGGTCAGAAAAAAAGTCAGCCAACAATGTGTAGAGTTGGAATAAAACATAAACAGCGCGCGTGGTGCTGTAGTGGAGTAGGAAGCGTCAAAAAAAAATAAAGAGAAAAATAACAAAAATAAAATGTAATAAAAAATTTAAATTAAAAAATAGTAATTAACTTATATTTAGTTTGTAATTATGCCTTAAGTTGTAAGCTTGTGGATATATACTGAGCAGAATGCGAGCAGAGCAGACATGTAAAAGAATATAAATATAAAAGAAAAAAAAAAACAAAAAAATGTGAATAATTAAAACAAACACTTAAATTTAAAATGCTATACAAAGTCTAAAAAATACTAAAAATACATTAAAATAAAAACCTACATTAAAATAAAAAACTCGTATATATAAAAAAATTATAAAACAGTAATCTAAAAGTAATATATACACTTATAAATATTATTATTAAATACATACATAAAATCAGCATAAAGTGTGTAATAAAAACAGAGCGTAATTAAAGAAAGTGAGAAACAAAATGCAACAAAAATAATAGTAAAAATACAAAAAATTAATAAACAATTATATATAAATATGATTAATATGAAATATTGACAGCAAGCAAAGCAGTTAAATCACATATACACGCCCCTTACACAACAACCAAACACATTCACATACATACAGAACACAAACACATACAAGCCAACTTCAAAATTTAATAAAACATAAGGCAAAATATTAAAAAAATCAGCCGCTAGTTATTTAGTTTATAAAAAAAAAAATATAACTGAAAAATCAGCAAGCAGCCGTAGCTAGCGTCAGCGTATTACTAGCAAGGAAAAACACACACATGCACCCACAAACAGCTCGCCCGCCCCTTGCA